GCCCCTTATCGACAAGTGACACACCATTCTGACGGATCTGTCAACGCTAGATCTGTAGACGTTCGTATTTTGTTGTGGTCTTTTGTACGCTACAGATTTAAACTTTACAAAATTATCTTCGAACACAAGAAGAAAACTCTACAAGTATAATGGCTGCTAAAAATCATGACTATATTTCACGTGGAAATAAAACATGATCTACAGTTTTTGAATATGTTTCGTATGAACAGTTCTGAATATGGCCCTGAGTTTTACCCCGATTTATTATTGTCAAAACGAACAAAACTACAGACTAATACAATGACGTCATTTTTGCTGATCAGCTGTTCACATCAGTGGACTTCAAAGCGTAATGAATACTCGTGAAAAACTCATATCTGGTTGGTTGTCTTAAGGTAAAGGCATATGGTATGAAGTGCAAACGGCGCTAAAACTTTTAGCTGCTAAAAGTTCGATTCAGAAGAAAACGGCATAGGATATATTTAAACGATCGTTCAACTTTTCGAATCAGGAACAACTATTTTTAATTTTGTTGTCGGTATGAAAGTGGATTTCAGTTCAACGAAACATATTTTTATTTATAGAATAGATTTTGATTAACGGATCTGTAGACAAAACACTTAAAACACTTGATCGTATCCGCGAAATCGCAAGTGAATCACTATTCAATAATTATTTCAAGTACTACGTAAAAGTATTACCGATATCAGAAAACCAAGTGGGCCAAATTTTTCAAGAAAATGGTATTGCTGTATATTGGTGTGAAAATTACCTTGTTAGACCTGCATCGTGAGACATACCGTCTCCTCCCCTATGGTCCTAACCAGCACTGTGCCGCCGCTCTAGACAGATTCCTGAATCCGGCCTTAATTTGCCCATAGGTGGTATGATAACTATGCTAATGTAAGAAAAAGTCAGGTGGCTGACGATTCATCTCTCAGTAACTTTCGGCGAAAACTTATAAGTGTTTCAATGGGAAACTAATAATACTCCTAGAATACAGCTTTCGTCCGTCCGCCCAATCGTCTTCAGCTGTTTCATGCTTTTCGGCAATTGTCAGCATGGTCTAGGCTTGCTTTCTAGGACTAAGAACAAAACCAGAGCAAAGTATCCTTTTTCTGGGTCTATCGAAATGGCAGTACGAAGTGATCTTGCCCGGTTACCAGTTACCCTTCTTCCAATACAAAATGCAGATAATACCGCTTGTGAGATAAATTATAAATGTCTAGGTTTTTAACGCCCATTTATTTTACTTCATTCTGAGGTCATTCTAATTATTCAAAACCTGTTCTGATTATTTGTGTATGCAATTAACGTATCTATGCGTCATCTAGGTCACATTGCAAATTGCAAGTGTATACAGAACTAAGCATTTTATTGCCTTTGCATATATCTGTCGTTTATTTTTTATGTAACATAATATTTATACAGCATGACTAGAAATATTCCTATAGGAATAATTTTCAATTGTGGGATTCAATAAATTTCAATCCTGCTATTTTTTTAAGAAAATGTTTCAAATTATTGCATTTTGCTGCTAAAATTACCTTGCTAGACCTAAATAGTGTTCCCCACTTCGTTGACCATCCCACACCCTTCAATTGTCATATGGGTATTCGATCCCAGATGCGTAGCTTAACAGCTTCCTGAATATTAATTCTTCGACCGCGACTGCGCCCCACTACACCGGTACCTAACTCCGTCCTTGAAGTATTTTATGAATTTGATAATTATATACAATCTGGCTGCGTTCCTGAGCTGCAACCCTAAGGTGCCTTTACTATTGTTCATTTCCTGCCCTGTTTGTTTGGATATTGGTTTGACACCTCTCGGAAGACAGTGGTACCACCAAAGAATGAAATCTTCCATGCTGATTCTAGCCTATAAGAAATAGGTCGGCTTATTTCCTGCCAAATCCATCATTACTCCCTTTAGTGATTATTCCTAATTGACATAGTTTCTATGAAAGTTACTCTATTGGTGTTACACACGATTGACGTGATACTATTGTGTTGTGTAACTTCCTGGACGGTCAATAAGTAACTGTAGTGAATGTTAATCGAATCTCTCAGTCCTCACTAGCCAGTCACCAGACGATAAAGAAAAAAATGGCTTCAAGTAGGTTGACTTATGTCCCACGCAACGCCGTCATCAGTTCATAAATAATTGTGTTTAGCACAAGTTAGAAAAGCATGGGGAATTACAAGTTAGATCGTATGAGAAAAAAGTTAGTTAAGTGTAACACGGAAATTAAACAGATAAAGTCAGTCAAACACGACCACACAATTAGTCCAAAGACATTCTTTCCCTGCCGTGCCAGACGCGGCAGTAAGGCCAGAACTTACCAAGATCGCCACGCTCACCTGTTATCCCAGAGAGCAGAAGCAGTGACACGTATCAAAAGCATTTCCCCATCATTCTCTTTTAAAAGCAAATGTAGCGGAAATCTATGATGAATAGAATATGTATAACAGGTGTGAGGAATCACCAGTATTGGGAGCGTATAAACATATTAAAATCAAAAAAATTAAGATACTCCTAGAATTTTCAAAAAGGAATTCAGTAGCCTCCAGTGGACCGATTTTCAAAAACTACAAAGCTTTTTCGTCCTTGGAATAGTAGTACCCTTATGTGAAAATTTCATCAAAATCCGACCGGTAAGTTATAGATGGGCCAAAGATTAGCGAATCGACAGACCGACGGAAATGAGTGACATTATGTTTCTTTCGTTCGTTGTTTGATGTACATGTTATATAACATCCAAAAAACATTATCTCATTCTCGAAATTTTTCGCGATTACAACACAAAGTAAAAGAAGGAGGGAAGATGCAGAAGAGCTGAGAAAAAAGAGCCTTGGGTCATATATTTACACTTGGTGTTTCACCGTGTATTCGAAATTATTCTTATTGCTTTTGTTTAGATACCTTACCCATTCGCATCACGCTGCGCCTGGGATTACGTCACCTTTAAAAAATTAGGTATATTCCAAGGCTGGCAATGCCATCACGGTTTCTACATTTGCATAAAAACACAAGGATGGTGGTCATGTCGTGAGATGGGAACCTAGAACGTTCGTTAGGCTATTTGGGTCACAAGTTATTTATTAGATTTGTAATTGTACGGACCGCGCCCAAGCAGACAACACCTAATTTCAGTTAATAATTATGGTTTTGTTGGAATTGAGAAAGCAGTCAATTTTAGTGAAGTTCAGTTCAACTATACTCACTAAAATTGTGATATCGTGGTATCAAATTGCACAATCGAAGATGTAGATAGACTTGATAAACCCAATTCTTTATTTCTAATGCATAATTGATTTTATAAAATTGTTCAAGTGCTGATAAGAAACCGCCATTATCGGGAGGTTTCAGAAACTGAATTAACATTTAGTTAATAAATATACAAAATCCAAAGATGCTTTGGCATTTTTTTGCTTTTGCTAATAACTTCACCTCCAACATAACGATACTAAGAAAACAGACAAAGACTGCTATATCAAAAAAGAAATCGAGTAAAATGAGTAATACAGATTTTCTTCAAAGAACATAAGAAAATCCAAAATTATAGAAATCACAGTACTTCCCTTGCTTTTACTTCTTTTTTGTATTCACGAGATTTACTTTTTAAATAGGTAATTCATAATAAATCATCAAATCATGTCACCTATTTTTGTCGCCTTACCTGTCATTTAATGGTAGGTCCATTTAAGTTCTTTAAATTATCTTCCCGTAATTTTGACGCTACTACTATGGTAAGAACAAAAATGCTGTCTGATTTTTCTTGGGAATCACTGCACCCCAAATAATTACTCGACGCAAGTTTATTATCGTTTTTGGGTATTTCAGTTTAATTTGAGTTGGAATAAAAAAACTGACGGACTTTGTAAGTTTTTTGAAGTCTATTCAGAAATTTGAAATTTTAACGATTTTTGATCGTATGCTCATAATTGGAAACGTTTTCTTTGCCATAGGTTTCTTGAATTGTTTTTTTCCCAGAAAACCCCATAACGACAGAAGGAGCCCGTTTGGTTACAGAACTCTACTTCTCAGTGTGGGTTTTAGTATTTCAAAACAATTTTTCCAAGCAAATATTCGATACACCTGCGTATATTCATGAGGATACAATAAATCACACCTACAATAGTATTAATGATATTCGTGAGGTTATAAAAAACTAGTTTTACGATAACATTTTCACGAAATGAGTAAGTTTAATTACATATTGTGGCACCTTGACCTGCTCGACCTCCATGCATTTGACTTCCCATACTTAACGAAAAATATTCCAGAAGTCCCCAAGTTTCGCTTTTCAAACTTCAGATGATACATGAGCGTAGCTAAAATTTTTTTTGGGAGGCTGAAAGTCTTAAAAACATCGAAACTAATTTTCTACGTATGGAAGTTTTCTAAAAGATCGAGAAGACAAAAAAGTTTTTGAAGTCTTATCTTAGTTCCCTCGGCAATTGGTTACGAAGTATTGTAATATAGAAAAGTTTCGAAAATGAGATATTTTTTGGATGTTACGTAACATTTGCGTCGGTTTGTCTGTTTATCTGTCGTCTGTCCCATAATCTTTCTCCGAAAATACTGACATATGATCACTACCATGCCAATGACGAAAGAGCGCATAGTTTTTAAAAATCTGCCCAGTTACTTTCAAGTTATGAGCAAAAAACAAAAAATTCTGATCTTCTTAAAAAATTCATTTGAGTTTGTGTTTTTTTTTTGTCGCAGTCAATTTGTTCAATAACGCAATGAAACTTCTGTTTTCGATGTTATTCAACAATTTGAAAACTAACATCTTTTTTATATTCCTAGTTCATACTCATGAAAATAACTTATTGTCAAAAAGTTTTCGACTAAATCTTAACACTATATTTTTTTGCAGTGTACACCAACCGTGTACCCGGCTGATCCCTTCGACCCAGTGGCCGATGCTGCGACCTTGAAAAAGGCCATGAAGGGCTTCGGCGCCGACGAGAAGGCCATCATTGACGTGTTGGCCAGAAGAGGCATCGTCCAGAGACTGGAGATCGCCGAGACCTTCAAAACCTCCTATGGAAAGGACCTCATATCCGAGCTCAAGAGTGAGCTGGGGGGAAAGTTTGAGGATGTTATCGGTAAGTCCGGACTTAGTAGTGATGGTATTTGCGTTTCGTCACAATGTATGAGAACGCCTGAAGTTATATAGTGTGGGCTCGGTTGACAACTCCGTTATTAAGCATTTTATCTAAGTCAAATACAAAAATGGTAGCCAATGGTATACTCCTGACTTGGAAAACAGTTTTATTTCTACAGGGTGATCCATAACTACGTGGTGACTCTATTTTTTTAAATGGAAATCTCTACGTTTTATTACAGATTTGTATAGAGTTTTTTAAATGAAGCAATTCCATATAACATTGCCAAATTGTTGTGAGATATTAGACATTCGATCCAAGTAAGTAAACGATCTGCTTTGACAACTCGCACCTTGCTAGAGATGATCCCATATCTACTTACTTTTTCAGTTCCTTGAATTGTTTATACAGGATACTCAGTAAGTAAATTTGAAACATTTCTCAAAATTGTCAATTGGAACACCGTGTATATTTTTATATTTTTTGAATGCGCTTCACGAGCTGTTATCTGATATAAGCCTTATAGGAGTTTCTGAGTTAAAGAACACAGGGACGCCTTTTTGACTTTCCAATTGTACTGCATGATTCTGAGTAAATTCAATTAATAATTAAAATACAGCAATTCTAAAGATCTCTCACTGCCAACTAAAAGCTATTTTTCATTTTCAAAAGTCTTGTAATATTTTTCATTTACTTTATCTGATTTACAAAAAGCTTGGCTGTAACTCAAAAACCTTCACAAACCTTATATCAAAAAAAGCTTGTAAAAAGGGGAATCAAGGATTGTGGAAATATACAGAGTGCTTCATTCAAAATTTTTGAACAATCACGCATTTTGCGTTCTTGGTCACTCTGTATGAACCATCTGTTCAGATGGAGCTTTCGAAAAAGTTCATTTTCTTCTTTAGGACATACTACAAATAATATTGCATGTAAATTCTTAAATTCAAACAACTTACAATGTTGAAGCGTAGTTTCGTGAGAAAAAATAATTTACAGGTCTCAAATTAAGGTACCGGTCAGTACATACCACTTTCCGAAAGAAGAACTTTAAAAGATTGTGTGGTATTATATATTGCTGATATAAACAGCAAGACGGCATACAACAGCCCCTAGATAATTTTTTCAAAAGGAGGGATGGAAAGCAATAACTGCGCATGGGTGATTTGACAACGTTGCAAAGATCGTAGGTTTTCTGGAACATTGACTTCTTCAATGGCTTGCAATGCAAATTTTGTGCTTCCATTTCATTTGTTTTTTCAGTTGCCCTGATGACACCCCTACCTCAATTCTACGCCAAAGAACTTCATGATGCTGTTGCCGGACTAGGAACTGACGAAGAAGCTATCATTGAAATTTTATGTACACTCTCCAACTACGGAATCCGTACCATTGCCCAGTTTTACGAACAAAGTAAGTAGATCAATTATCCGATTTTTAATAGTTATTGTCGAATGAAGTGTTTATCAATATTTTATTTCGATGGAAGTGAAAATTAAAAGTGAAAAGCGTTGCGACTCTTTCAGTGTTTTATTGTGAAAAGTGTACCACAACTAGCACTTTTCTCAATTCATGTGTGAAGAAACGAGGATTAACAGTACCATATTTACAAAACGGATATAAATGACCTACTTCTGGTATTAAAAATGCAATATTGTTTAGGTAGTAGTATAATTGAAGGTATCAAAGTGCATAATTCAAAATATAAATTGTACTGTTATACAGTTTGTCGTAATATTAGTGACACCATGTTCCTAGATGTACCTACAAGAAAAATGATACTCTAGAGACGTGTAAGAGTGCGGTTGTCCTTAACCTACAATGTATGTCGGTTCAAACTGGAATAAAACGAACATAATCGCTATTTTTAGAATTATGTGATACGGTAACTCGATTTCATGTAAATATTTTCATAGCCGCTCACCAACGTGGGAAAATATTGATGGATTGTCTTATTAAAAGAGCCTTCATGTGTTTATTTTGAAAATATTGATAGAAACATAATTTGTCAATTTTATTCGAGCATCCATATGGCTTTTGGATCTTGTTTTGAATGAAAATGGGAGCACTAAGCTCATTGGCATTCTGGTATCAAATTCAAATATGATTCTTCTATTTCGCAATCTGACACCAAATTCGATTTGATAGCAATTTGAAACTGACGCAGTGGCATCCTAAATACTCCCAATGAGAAGAATGACATTGTGGTTGAATTTGATGGTTACATACTTGAGGAAAATTTTCAAGACTTCTGAGGTATTTAACCATACAATGAACTATCATTATCTCTATGATGTTTCTCACATTGCAGAAATCAAACATTTCTTTATATTTTTTTGCTTGGGCAGTCAAGCGTGTATATTGCCTAACTTATCATTTTTATGTTCAAGGGACACATTAGCAAGGATGCCAAGTTTTAGTAGAAGAAGGGGTAACTGTTGTAGATTCATACCAATGACGCTAGATAATGATTGAAATCATGCTAATAACACAGACTACACTGTCACTTTGGCTGTCTCGATTTAATGCATTTAAGCATTTAATTAATAATCATGATATGGAGTAAACTCATCCAGGCTTATGGTGAGGCTCATGTCATTGCTCTTGATATCACGAATGCGTTCGATCAGCTGAGGCAGCTTCCATCCTGTGACCTTCCAAAAAAGCTTTGCAGATGGGTGGCTGACTTTCTCTCTGGCCGCAAGATATCCGTCGTAATTGACAGGATCTCTTCATCCCACAACGTCAACGCGAGTGCTCCCCATGGATGGTTCTTGGCTCCGACACTGTCCCTCTTACATACAACGACCTCCTTTCCTGTACGCTCAACACCATCCACAGCTTGGCTGGTGACAGTACTCTACATGCAGGAATTCAGAGTGACAAGCCGATCTCTGCAGTGGACCTGGAAAAAAGAAGACTACCGACGACTCCCTCTCTGACAAGAGACCTGGAGGTTATCACTGCTTGGGAACGCAACAATCTTGTCCAGTTTAATGTTTCCAAAACACAGTACTGTACCTTGATGATGAAAAAGCGTCCTAGCGTTCATCCGGTTTCGATGGATGGCCGAGTTCTGCCAAAGAGCCGTTCATTTCGGCTAGTCGGAGTCCAGATCACAGAGGACTTGATCTGGCACGAACACATCTCGTCAATAGCTGCAGCTGCTGGGAAAAAGCTAGGCTGCTGTTTGTTTAGGGCTAAGAAGTCATTTTCTCCGCATGACCTACTCACTCTATACAAGGCCCAGATAAGGTCTAGCCTCGAGTATTTGCTCACACGTTTGGGGTGCTGCCACCCCGACAACATTACTTATGCTCGATGCTGTCTAGAGGAGGGCTGTCTGATTGATCGATGACTCCTCTCTAAAAGACAGCCTCGGGACCCTTTCGCACCGGCGGGCGGTCGGCGATCTAGCTCTCTCTACCGCTACACCAACGGGCTTTGCTCCTCAGAGCCGCGGTGTGATGTGCCTGACAGACAGACTTCAGCGTCCCATCCGAAGGTGTCGAGATTGTGGAACGATCTACAAGAGGAAGCTCTCCCAGTTCTACAAACCTTAGACAGTTCAAAAATCGGATTAACAAAATTTCTTTGGGATCATCATAGCAGCCGCGGTGTCCCGGCATTTAGGCTTCTGCCTGCGCGGCTGCTTCGGTATAAAAAAATCTTCAAAAGCATGTCTCTTTAAACAGACTTTTCATTCTATAAGCTATTTACGATTTTAACACACCCAAATGTATGTTATAATTCCCTTTTTCTGAGATTCTCAGTCAGTTACCAAGTATGTTGTATATTTAACCATATCCTTATTTTCAGTGTATGGCAAACCTCTAGAAAAAGACTTAAAAGGCGACACATCCGGCCATTTCAAAAGACTGTGCGTTTCTTTAGTACAAGTGAGTATTATCTTTATTAAATAATAGCATAGCTGATAATAGTATAGCTGAAAATATTTGCTATTCATATGAACATTTTTTCTTTTTTATAGTTGCCTGAACCATCCAAGACATTTGGCAGCATTGTAAAATATCCTGGCATGTGCATCGCCTAATGCGACAGATAGGTTTCAGCTGGGACGGGAATTGGCATGTTGCTTGTTTTGAAGATCGTGGATGTCCTTTGTTAGACAAAAATACAAAATATCTTGCTTGATTTCAAAAACAGTTTTTTGTCGTAAAAATGGCATCGTGCATAAACTTGATAACCTGCAGGGAAGTGTCCATAATAGCCGAAACCTAACTGTCACGGCGGTTAAAGCACACGCATGGAAATTTTATTTTTAAGACGATTCTTATAATAGTTTTCGAAATCATTATTCTCGAAAACTAAAAACGTTCGTTTGATAAAATGAGTATTGGCACAAATTAATTTTTTAGGCAAATCGCGATGAAAACCAGGGTGTCAACGAACAACAAGCCGTGGCTGACGCCGAAGCCATGATCGCCGCCGGAGAATCGAAATGGGGCACAGAAGAGTCAATCTTCAACCAGGTCCTGATTACCAGGAGCTACCAGCAGCTCAGAGCTACCTTTGCCGAATACGAAAGGCTCACAGGCAAAGACATCGAGGAATCTATCAAGAAGGAGTTCTCTGGGGATATCCAAAAGGGACTCTTGGGAATTGGTAAGATTATTATTATGTAGTTGGTAGTAGCATTGACTAATATATTCTATTAGAAGCAGGTTGTTTTGAAATCCTGCGAGAAAATGAGCCTATACGTATGGTAGCGGCATCAACTACGTATGCTTACAAGTATATACGTGTCAAACACCGTCTTTAGATGACAGCATTGCCACCTCTCTGATTGTTGCCGGGTTATAGAATTTGGTTTACCGTCTTGGAAAATTTTGAGAATACGAAATTATAGCAATAATTACGAATTAATTTGCCCTGATCTTCCTTGGAAGGTTGATGTCATGTTTAAGAATAAACAGCTTTATTTAAAAAAGAAATTGAGTTTTTTGACAGGGGGAAGCTTTTATAGCCACTCTCAGGCAGAAAAACTCGACAGTATTGCCCTGCCGGCCCTTCCTGCCCGATGTGTGAGAGTCTTCAGAAATGGCATACTTGCTAGAACGGCTCAGTCGTACGCTACAAATCTCACCACGGTAATGCTTGCAGCCTTTCTTCATAGTGGGTAGCGTTGCGCTAGGTTCTAATACCGAAGGTATTAGTCATCTTATTCTCTATCATACACATACATACTTTTATACAAATGTACATGTACAACCAACGAAAATAGAAACCTACTATTGGTTCCTTGGTCTATTTTTGTTTTCCCGTACCTTACTCAGCATCATTCGTCTCACTTTTAGTTGAATAGCAACTCATTTTCCCTCTGGTATATGTGTGGCAAACTTGTCAGCAGTGAGCCTCTCGCCGAGAGTCAGTTCCAGCTGTGTCTAGTAGTCAACCTACCTACCACGCTGGAGTAGGTGATTAGGAGTATCCTCCTCTACATTGCAATATACGCAGTTCGCGTACTCTCTCTTTCCTACCCTCCTGTCAAAACAACTACTGTGGTATAGTAGTAAGTTTTACTATCTGGGATCAGCCTTCTGGTCCATGCATCATGGCCAGTTGCATCCCATCTCTCTTGCCATCTGACAAAAAGTATCTCTCTTTCGACTCTTGTAGCTTTGACGCCCTTTTTATAGAACGCACGTCTCTCCCCAGCCAGCAAATCAATTGGCGGGATACCAGCCACCACCAGCAGTGTATCGGTCGACACCGTTCTGTAAGCGCTTACCACGCGCAGCACTACTTTTCGTTGGCTTCTCAAATATTTGTTTTTCCTCAAGACCTTGTTACATAGAGTTTTTCCATAAAGGTGTTGGCAGTTTCACTATTCAATTAGAAAATAACTACACAATATAAAAGGAAAATAAATGTATTTTTAAAAAGTAGAAAGATAGGAATTTTTTAGACTTGAAAATAATGTTGTTTTGGAAAACTCATTAAAAAGTCGTTCTCGGTATTTTGTTACCTTCCTGAACAATATTCCTCTTCAGCTGCTCTAAATTAGTTGGATTATTTTCGTAGACCTCCGATTTGAGGTAGTCCCATAGGAAATAATCGCATGGAGAAAGATCGGGGCTACGTGGTGGCCTTTCAATATTCCCCCTTTTCGAAATGAGTTTTCCGGGAAAGAGATTTTTCAGCAGCTCTATAGATACCCTAGCTGAATGACATGTGGCCCCATCTTGTTGAAACCACATTCTAGAACTTTAACTGTCATCGCTTGCCCTCTTTCGTCCTCAAAAAAGTACGGTCCAATAATACCGGTTGACGTAATTCCAGCTCACACGACTAGTTTAGGGCTGTGAACTGGGCGTTCATGCAAGCGTCGGGGATTAGTTTCGGACCAGAACCGACAATTTTGTTTGTTAACATGGCCATGGATGTGAAAATTGGGCTCATCACTAAACGTCACGTTGTTAAAACTGTTGAATCGGTCGAGCATCAAATTGACAAAGTTAAGTCGGTTATTGGCGTCATCTGGTTTTAATTTTTGGGCTAGTTAAATCTTATAAGCTTTCAAATGCAAATGACGCTTCGAAATTCGCCGCAAGCTCGTTCTTTTGATGTCCAAAGCCTGACTTCTCTTACGTGTTGACTGTTGCGGATTTCGCTGAACTGAAACACGAACACGCTCTACATTGTCGGCTGATCTTGCAGAAACTGGACGACCACGAGCTGTTACTGCTACTGTCGAGCCGGTTGTTTCGAACATTCTGATCCATTTTCGTATCACATTGGCGCTTGGAACTTCTCTTAAATCGTGTAAACCATGTTCATGTCGATACAAACGTCGTGCAGTAATAAACGATTTATTGTTTTCATAATAGGCTCGGACTCAAAATGCACGCTGCGCTCCCGTTTACGGCTCCATGGCGACTAAAAACGGCGCAGCTAACAGCTTTTCCCCCCTCAACCCGCGCCCCGCGTTTCCGGGAAATTTAAGAGTTAAATCGCCAACACTCTTATGGCCCACCCTGTATATATAGGGGCTCCATACAACATAATCGAGTGTGCCACCCCTGCCAAAATCCAGCGCTTCTCACTACTGACATTAGCCGTATCAGATATGCAATGAACTTATTTACCTTTTCTGCCATTGTGCCGTGTTAAAGGCATTCTTAACGTCAAAAGCAAACCATAACACAAAGCTTCTTATTACTGTGTCTGCCGCTATCCGCTACTGTCACCAGCTGTGCCACTGCACTAAGTGCATCTATGGCAGAGGGAGTTTGTATTTATTATTTCTAGGGCAATTATTTTACTCCTATTTGGCAACGTGACTGTAAGGGGAAGACCAAAAAATTGTTACTACGCCTGATTTATAGGTTATTTATTCATCCAAAAATTTGCAAATTAGTTTCATGTTTGGGAATTGAGATGCTTTGGAACTGAAAAGTGCCGACCTTCAGTTTTAATATTTTAATGGTGATGAAGATTTATTAGGGCTCCAAATGGATAGTTCTAGGTCTTAAAAATTAATTCTAGCTGGGACCCAGTCGTCAGTGAATCGATATGTATGACAAATTTGTGTGTGATTTTTTCAAACTCGCAGATGGCAGCTTGAAACATATTAAACCTGTATTTCGTATCGCAAACTTTACTTTGCCACTTAAAAACATGAACGTAAGTCTTTGGTGATACACGTGTGAATTTGTTATCAACAGGAATTTTTCCCGCTGGGCTGCAAAAGAAAATGTTCTTATCTTAAAATTACATTATTTTCTTTGATACAGCACGCTATTTTCAAGCACTCTAAGGGGTAGACATCGTTTTTTGCACTGTTTTCTAAAAAGAAGATCAACGTTGTATTGTTGTAAGCACAATAAACTTGCCTTTTCTTGAGAAAAATGGCATTCCTTCCAATATTTTTTGTGGCCCACCAATCCGAAATTCTGGAAGAACTAATGAATATAAAAATAAAATGTTCATTCTCAAAACGTCTAATTGGAAATTGATGGTATAAGTATTTTTACCGTTATGTTGACATACCACCCCTTATTTTGTTTGATCTTCAATACCTACTCATGAGCCCCACCCGAACTCAAGTTCTATATACGCCACTGTATTAATCAATGGTAATATCCAGTGGTTATGCTTATGGTTTACCCTATCTTGGTCTTGGATTAGTCTAGTGGAATCATGTCATATATATCTTAAATCATTTACTTTAAAAAAGACTTTTTAAAAAACTTTATTGAGGACCATTACAACTTACAAGTTACAATTGATATGACATTTACGGAGTCTAGCCGGGTATTGAATAACAGGATATGGCGGCGAGGCCTATTTATACACTTGTATTGCTAAGTATTAAAGGAAAGAGAACTATGGCTAAGCAACAGATTAGCGAGAAGTTGTTATCTGATGCTGATGCCGCGTCAAGTGCAACATTGTATATTAACTGCGTGGTTCATAAAGCATATAACATATTTTTTTCTTCTAGTCAAATGCGTGAAGAGCAAAGTAGGTTACTTCGCAGAACGCCTGCACGAGGCGATGGCTGGTTTGGGTACCAACGACAAAACTCTCATCCGTATCATTGTCTCTCGTTCAGAAATCGACTTGGCTGACATCAAGCAAGCCTTCCAGGACAAATATGGAAAGGCTCTGGAAAGCTGGATAGCGGTAAGTTGGAAGTATTCGTTATTATGGTTTTGGTGGGTAGTACCTTGAAAAAGCACAAAAAGACATAATAAAAACAGCTGAAATAATTACTTCGGTTGTACTTCTACAAACTTTTGGTTTCAAAGTAACACAAATGATGGTGATTACGATTCCAGACTTGGACCCTATTGACTTTTTATCTGGAAATATCTGAATACAGCTTTCCAAAAATAACGAAATTTTCTTTTTTGTTATGTTTTAAAATCACTGTATGTATTTTGACCCGAAATGTTGCTTATATTCTTGCTTTTTTATTGTCTTTCTATTACTCATTGGGTTGGGTTCAATGAAAGTCATCCATATAAGATTTTCATTCCCTTTATCGGTTGAATGTCATGCAACCCAACATTGCATTGATTTTGATGTACTCCTCCGTATGAAAATGGCAGTAGAATTTAATTTATATCAACATGGGCCGATGATTCAGTAATGATACATAGAGAAAACGTGAATTGCATTTACTTTCATATATACCACTTTATTTACATTTACATAACATTTCAAATAGTTATATTTTAAACATACACTTTTTTGTCTACTTCCAAGATTAGGTTTTTTTTGTTGATCATTGGTTGGTGTTAATATAAACTACCATTGCACTTCTATCCAATACTGCTAATCCATTGATGGCGCATGATATCTGTACTAATATAGAAGTTTCCTTTTCATATTTTACGGAAGTATAATCAGAATCTTCCTCTGATTATCACTCTCTTTCGCTTAATAGTCGAATCATATTAGACGAAAATCTCCTGGTTTGCGAAATAATTGTAAAGTCTTGTTTTATTGCTGCAAGCTGTTCAAGGGCGTATTCAAAACATGGACGCATAAAATGGGTAAACCAAAGTGGGAAAACTTTTTATTCGACAACAAAGAATGAGAAACGTATTTTTTGGGATTCAATCGAAAGCGTTGGCAGGAACGAAGAAACTTCATATACAGTTTTTAGGTATTTATGAGACCTTCAAAATGAGACCACACGTAAAAAGATCCGACTAATAGCAAAAAAGTTATTGCCGAAAACCGAGGCAAACTGCGGGTTTTGGTACTTGTTGGTAATGGGACGATGGTTCCTCGCAGATATTTGAAATTCTTCGAATTCGTACTTCTAAATAACCACAACAAAATTGAAGTAGACTGGTCTTTGTGAATTTCTAATTTCTTATCCCAAAATAAATATTAACCGGCCATCACTACTAATTTATTAAGCAATATACAGGGTTAGTTCAAAGGGCATTTTATAGCAAAATACACTAGTTTACCTTGCCGACATGAATCGCAAACCATTCGGGAAGATTAATGTTATTTTTATGCAAAAAAGGATGGGTTACGTTTTTTCTTCTAAACAAATTCAAACATTTTGTATTTGTGAGTAATTCGCAACAAAAGATGATAGACACATCCGCTTTATTATAAAATGTGTACAGTAACGTCTGTTTTTCGAATATCGTAGCGTATTTATTCAATTACTGACAAATACGAAATGTTTGAATTTGTTTAGAAGAAAAAACGTAGCCTTTGTTTTTCGGATAAAAATAACATTTCTTTTTCGGAATGGTTTGCGATTCATATGGACAAGGTAAACACATGTATTTTGCTATTAAATGCTCTTTGAACGAACCCTGTATATTCCTGGACAAACTAGTAGAGATGGCCGGAAAACGTGCTTTGGAATAAACAATTAGAAATTAGGACCAATCTAGTCCAATTTTGTTGTTGTAATTTAGAAGTATGAATCCTACGGATGTGAAGAATTTCAAGTAGTGACGTGAAATTATCGTCGCATTACCAAGTGCCAAAACCTGCATTTTGCTTCGTTTTTCGGCCATAACATTTTTGCTATTAGTCAGATCTTTTCACGTGTCGTCTTATTTTGTAGGTCTCATAAATACCTACAAATTTTATATGAAAAGTTTTTTCGTTCCTGTCAACACGTTCGATTGAATCCCAAAAAACTTGTGTTCTGATTCTTTGTCAAATAAAAGGTTTTTCCCCAAAAATTGGTGTACCCATATTATGCGTCCATGTTTTAAGTACCCTTACAACTTGCACCAAAAAAAAAAAACATTACAATTATTTCGGCTAAATTTGCTAATATGATTAGACTATAAACTGAACTCAGGTCATTGTAGTCATATTCATTGCAGTGCTTAGGTGTTGGTATTCCATCGGAGTTAACAGAATGTAATGAATACTAAAAGAATGACATCACTACTCCTACATAGTTTATACGAGTTGGCGCTATATACGTTTGCGCAAAGGAAAAAGTATCCAGTTCTCTACAAAAATAGACATGTTGATTTCATAATGTGACCTCATACTGAGTTCATGCATATTTCATAAGGATATGCAACAAGGTGTTAATGAAAAATATGTCGAAGTTGAATTTATATAAGGTGTCCCATATCGTTATGTTCAAATTTTGGAAGCGGCAAGTACACTTCTTTTCAAGTAAAAAAAAGCAAAACTTGTGTATCCATTTTTATTTAATGCAAAGTTATACGCCCATGAAGATAATACTAAAAATAAATCGATTAGGGCAGCCCAAACGTTAATAGAAAATTCATGTTGAAAATTACATGGACGTACAGCTTTGGGATTTTCTGATTCCCACCTATGCAGCTTTCTCAGATTTATAATACCACGCCTAGTGAATACCGCTTCTGTCCCCTACGATAATGATACGGATGTAGGCCTTTACGTTTTAAAATTCGCCAAACAGTCATTCTGTAATGAGGAATGCGTCTATTTGCAAACCGATATCGATATTCGATAACTGCTTGACGAGCACTGCTGTTACAGTAGCCATACACTAAATGATGTCTGCGCACTCTTCAGAACAAAATCGCGGGTGCATTTTGATAAAGAAAACGTCACTCACTAAGAAGCTGAGGCTTCACTTAACCTTGATCACTTGTATGTCAATAATTCTTAGTTGCTGTTTTGTCAGCTGATTGATTCGTATGATTGCGATTACTAGTGACGTGCACGTAAAGATGCAGTGTTTATCAAACAGTTGCGTTTTTATTTGTGATCTCCGACAAAAATATGTAGTAGTTTTTATTTACTCGTACTTTAAGACTTTATTTTTAGTATTATCTTCAAATAACATTCATGGGCGTGTAACTTTGAAATAAATAAGAATGGATATACAAGTTTTGCATGTTTGTTACTTGAAAAGAAGTAGTGTACTTTCCGCTTCCAAAATTTGAACATAACGATTCAGGACACCTTGTATAGAGTGTCGAATGAGCTTAATAATACTTATCGACATGTTTTGGAGTTTTCGAGAAGATAGCAAGAAAAATATGAGAGTTCCAAATTTATTTGGTAGTTCGTAAGTTTGAAGAGATAGATTTCACGCAGTGAGATTGAAGGTACTGAAATTGATTGTAATAACAAATCTGCTCTTGGCATGTTTGACGCCTTGACGGACAAAGTCTTAGTATATTTTGTCACTTACCTATATCTATTCCTCGTTGAAACTGATTTTCCATCGTCGAAAACGCATATAGGCCATCTCTGTCTGCATGAGGACATAGAAGGAAAGCTATTTAAAACTTTCAGCAAAGGCAAAATTAAATTGGACTAGAAACCCAATTACACTCCTAGAATTCCTGATCGGGGATTATATAGGATCGCAACTTTCAAAGAAGTTAATTTAAATTTCGAGGGACTCAAAGGGATATGGTACAATACAACGTGATCAAATTGAGAACTAATTTAAATTCTTTGTTTGTTGATACTTTGTGGGGTTACTCAAATTTGTTCAAATGACCAAAGACTATAATATTGTAACTATCGTTGCGTGCTTTTTGCAAGTGAAGTGAGATGAGGCTGTCAGAACAGTAAAAGTCTCACGTACTTAAGAATTTAAAAAAGTCAGCTCAGACCACAACATACGAGTAAACCCTATTTCATGAGTATCCACGTCTACTGAGGCGAACAGCTGATCAGCAAGTGAAATATTTGTACTAGTCTGTCACGTTGGCAATAATGACTCGGGAGTAAATCTAGTAAAAACTGCTTGTAGCGTTTTTATATGCAAATGAACTTTTCTTAGCCTTAAAAGAGATGTTAGCAAGTACAAAATGAATCTGTAACGTACAAAAAACTAAACAAAACACGGGTGTGCCTAACTAGTCGACGGATCCATTACAATTATGTGGATACATATACTAATGGATACTCGAGAAAAAGGCTTTGAGTAAAGACATTATTTTTATCTTGAAGCAGCACTTAAACTCAACCTTTTTGCAATTTTCTTATATGGGTCGCTGCACGAATATAAATGTTAACAAAGTTGAAAAAACTGCAAGTGATGACAACTCTCACTCAGCTGATGTTGGTTTGAAAATCTCACCTCATTTAAACAGAGTTTTTCTAAAAAGAACTGAGAAATCTGAAGTGAGGTGAGCGTATCTGAGATTTTATGTAAAACGAACGCGAGTATTGATTAATACATCGTAAAAGGAATTGTTTAAAAGCTCACAAATGTTCAAGTTGTTTCTGTTGGTTGTTTTAAAAGTTAATGATATAGTTTTCAAAATCAATCGGGGATTGAATCTTGACTGGCCGTACAAATTAATGCTTTTATCTACAAAAATTCTTGGATGTTAAGTGTAGCAATTAATTTCACTGGTATTCGCCGGGAGCGAAGTGCATAATGGGAGGCCGTCGCCGCGCACACGGTGCACAAAAAGGAAAACATCACCGGCCTAATAGTGGAAACTATGTCATGTGGGGTCAACTGATGGGCAATATTGCAAAAATATTTCGCTGTAATCATTTACCAGATTAAAAGAGAATTGCCAGTTTGATATTCAAATTGCTCCTAACCTCAAATCGAATAAGTGTCTGTCATTTTAATTTTTACACTATTATTGCGCACTCAGCGAATGCAGTCCAGTTTTTATGTTTTTCGAGGCTTAAGAGATTTTAACTCGATATTACTTTTATTAAAATAATGTATGCCAATCCTACTTGATCTCGTTTCTTACATGTGACATAAAGTATTGTCATTGTAACAATCATGGGAGGGGTAAGGAAAGCAACCTTCAAAATTTCTAGTTAACCAAGAATTGACAAAACCTATCTGAAGTTCAACCATAACAGTTCACGCCAAAGTTGTAATAGCGTAACATGATTAGATATTACAAGCCCTTTCCTTAGAAAGTGATCATAGTTCTGCCGCGGATCTGAAGCTTCTATCACGTGTGAGGAGATTAATATTAATTCTCTGAGATTGAGAGTTTGATATCCAGTGTATGATCATATTCTATCAATATCCGGTATAGAAATTAAATCTTATAGGATGATATCTTTGGTGAGAAATATAGAAGATTTAAATAAGTGCCCTTTGACTGTACCGAAAGCAAAAAACGAGGATAAACCGTATTATTCTTGAAGATGGATATATGTAAATAATATTCAGAGTATCCCTTAAGAATATACTTATAACTAACTCTAGTTGGCGATGCAGGGTCGAGCAGGGGTGGAAATACCATTGGTTGTTAGCTACATTCGTGCCTATTCATTTGCCATGGATCAGTTTTTGGGACTACAGTGCGCATTTTATGTCTGAGCATTTTACTAAACCCGGTACTCATGCATAACTTCTTGGTTTGTTACGTCTGGAATATAGTTTAAACATAAATAAGCTGTGTCGCAACGTTTACTTGACCGAAATATATACGTAGATAAAGCGGTTTGAAAAGTCTGGTCCTATGCTTAAGCTACGCGGCAAAGGGCGGCAACGAACATTTACATCCAACAAAAGCATACCGCCCAGCAAGTGGGACTAATGGCCCGACAAGTCATAATAAATGATAGTCCTTCTGGTAACATTTTATACTGAATATAGATATTATTAATATGATCTGGTTAGCCATTGAAGTTGGAAATAAAACTGCTTTCATGAAACAGTTGCTGAATGTTGTAGTCACGAGTTTCCACTGTCGTTTGTTATTTTGAATAGCTTTCCACATTGTCTTTTAGTAGTTTTAACCTTCTGCATGTGTTGTAATTGACTTACCTATCCTTTGCAGGGCGATACATCCGGCGATTACAAGCGGGTCCTTTTGGCAATCCTTGGCAACTAAACCCCTTTGGTTACAGCGCACTGAAATCCTTAGATATATAGTTACATAATATGCCTTCACACTAAAAGCATAAGCTTAATTTCATATACTGCCATCTTATATAGAAATGTTGTTTCAACTCTCACGATATTTTTGTATGTTGTTTTTTGTTTACAGGACGATTGCAAGAGCGAAGTTAAATATCTTTTGAGGACGCTTTGTTTCGGTTAAATTGTATGTCAGGTCTCTCTTTCGATGTTCGCTAATGTCAGTGTTAGTGTAAATGGTCATCTGTTTGCTACTCAAATCAACAATTTAAAGCTCCAAAAAAAAAACAATGCAAACTCCCTCAATCCTTTCTCCTTATATATTCCGATACCGATATCATTTTAGGTACTGTAGAGCATATTTTATTAATTGCATATTAGATAGAATATACAAGTTCCACTTAGCACACGCTTTGTCTCTGAACTTCTACCAACCAGATGATCATAAATGTTGTTAACTTTTCTCGAATGTTTGATGTTAATACCTGAATACTTCCCTGTTCACTTTATTAATACAGAGGCCTTAATGTTACGAATATAGAGAATCCTCACAATTCAGATGTTCTATGATATTATGAAAAGTTGTATTTTTTGTTTTACTGAGTATAGAGAGGGTGCGGGACATTTCCATACTATTTATAAATCATAATTTTTATATGTTTTATGTATGTTTTCGAATTATTTTTAAATGTTTGTATATGTTAGCTTGTACTCGGTGCTTAATAAAACATGTACATGAAACAACGAGTTTTGTTTCTCCCTTTTTTTTAATCTACAGTTTTCTGTGCCTGTTAGATGAACTAGTTAGGCTTCACTCTAACTCGATCGTGTGGTGGAGAAGTATTTCATTGAATCATGGCAGTTCAAAAACCAGCACGATATAAACGTTAGGCAGCGCAATGGCAGTCGGTCTTTCTGGTCGCTGGCCAAGCCTTCCACAAGTTACGTGTCAGGATGGAACGATTGTATCCGGCTCAAAGGCCAAGGCGGCAGTGCTTGCCAAGATCTTTGCTGCCAACTCCACCATGGACGTCCCCTCCAACGCCCAAGTGCCGTCAGTTCAAAGGGTTCCCTACACTATGTTGGAGGTAACATTCAGGCATTAGACCATAAGACGAGTCCCCTTGTCGCTCGAAATCAACAAAGCTTCTGTCCCGGACTCGATTCCTGCTCCAGTTCTTTTGCGTCTCTTCCTGATATCTTATGAATCAGGCACCTTCCCAGGAAACTGGAAATTTGCTAAGGTCCAAGCCATTCCAAAAAAAAGGCTCTAAGACCGACCCTTACAACTACAGACCAATAGCTCTGCTTTCTGTTATAAGTAAGGTGATGGAGAGGTGCATAAATCGCGAGCTTCAGGATCTACAGGGGACCTCCTAGCTTACGTCACGCAATTGTGGAGTAAACTCATCCAGCCTTACGGTGAGGCTTATATCGTTGCTCTTGACATCACGAAAGCGTTCGATCAGCTGTGGCACGCTGACCTCTTAAGCGATCTTCCATCCTATGGCCTCCCAGAAACGTTTTGCAGATGGGTGGCTGACTATCTCTGGCCGCAAGATATCCGTCGTAATTGACGGGTTCTCCTCTTCATCCCACAACATCAACGCGGGTGCTCCCAGGGATCGGTCTTGGCTCCGACACTGCTCCTCTTAGATAGCAACGACTTCCTTTTCTGTACGATCAACCCAATCCACAGCTTCGCTAATGACAGCCCTCTTCATGCAGGAATTTAGAGAGACAAGCCGATCTCTGCCGCTGAGCTGGAAAAAAGAAGACTAGCGACGACTTCGTCTCTGACGAGAGACCTGAAGGTTATCACTGCTTGGGGACGCAACAATTTTGTACAGTTTAATGCTTCCAAAACACAGTACTGTACCTTGATGAACAAAAAGCGTCCTAGTGCTAATCCGGTTTCGATGGATGGCCGAGTTCTGCCAAAGAGCCATTTATCTCGGCTGGTCGGAGTCCAGATCACCGAGGGCCTGATCTGTCACGAACACATCTTGTCAATAGCGGCAGCTGCTGGGAAAAAGCTAGGCTATTTGTTTACGGCTAAGAAGTACTTTTCTCCGCATGACCTTCTCACTCTATACAAGGCCCAGATAAGGCCTAGCCTCGAGTATTGCTCTCGTTTGGGGTGCTGCCGCCCCGACTACATTTATGCTCGATGCTGTCCAGAGGAGGGCTGTCCGTTTGGTCGATGACTCTTCTCTAACAGACAGTCTAAGAGACCCTTTCGCACTGGCGGGCCGTCGGCGATCTAGCTATCTTCTAACGCTACACCAACGGGTTTTGCTCCTCAGAACTCTCTTCCATGATGCTACCGCGCGATGTACCAGCCAGACAGACCCGCCTGACTTTGGCGTCCCATCCTAACCATGTCAAACTTACATCCAGAATTGGCCGACCGCTCCTTTGTCCCGAGAGTGTCGAGATTTTGGAACAATCTACAACAGGAAGCTTTTCCCAATTCTACTAACCTTAGGCAGTTCAAAAATCGGATTAACATAATTTCTTTGGGATCATCATAGCAGCCGCGGTGTCTCGGCATTTAGGCTTGGCCTGCGCGGCTGCTTCGGTATACTTAAAAAAAATGTATCGAAACTAACCAAAGAAAAAGATTGCGATGTACGGTTCTTCAACAAAACATTAACTGTTACGAAAACTTTATTAACAAGTCAAATGCACACATGAAACATTTATATAACTTTATAAACCATTTTATTTGTTAAAATATTATATAAAAACCTCTCCATAGTTAAACGACAAAATTTTATATCAAGGAATATTCGAAAATGTTTTATGCGGTAGTTTTCAGTGCTGTCTACAGATCAACCTATTGTTTTTGATTACAGTTTTGATATTTCTAGAGTTTCATTCCTTGCGACTGGACTGAAAGATTGCGGTACTCCCAACTTCCTTCAATAACAAAACTATTATACAGATTGATGATTTTTCTACAAGTAATTTTTACAAATAAGCCTGTATCTACAGCTGAACCTGTATTATTATTTTATACACGCACATATATTGGCAAAAACAACTAATATAAAATATATAGCAAAAGGTAAGAAAATAGTTATTTTGTATTTAGGGCATTGAGGTGGCATTTATGGCACACAGCGTAAAATTGTAGCTCATAGTATGAACCACTTAAGTTTTCTTGTGAATTGTTTGAAAAATAATAATTTTAACAGATGGAGGGTGCTTCAAATTCGACCCTCACTGTTGGGGATCTCGAAAAGGGTAAGAGATACGAAGTCGCTTAAATGGGTGCAAAGTTGCGTTTTTAAGTAATTAACAAAATACCGCTTGGGAAGTTCGAAATTCAATGTACTTCCGGAGAGAGACAGGAAAAACAATTTTTTTTCAGAATCGTTTTAATTTTTCCTGACTCACATTAACATTGCCCTTTTTCTCCTCTACAAGATGACACAATAATTATAATTTCAATATGACGTTTCGTTTTCTGTCTTCCATCAACTTTATTTTTTATTATGGACGCCATATTGGATTTTTGCACAGATGAGTTTATGATGATTCTTATGTAGAAATATAATATACGTCATACATTGAAATTGCCAAGCCTTAGTTATTTAAAAAAGTAGAATTTCCTAGGAAGGCAATGAAATTATCAGATAGTCATTTGTTTCATATACTAGATTTATCCCAAAATCATTTTTATTTTTTCCTGACTTTATTTGAGATGGGATTTTGAAATAAATTGCATGTTGTCATTGTTACTTATTCGCCTCTACAAGATGGTGTACTCAAATTTTCAATTTAAAGCTTCTTCTTTTAACTTCCATCACCAACTTTGTTTTAACATGTAAATGTTATATTGGAATTATGTACATTTAAATGGACTTTTCATTTCTAATATCAGTGATGTATTTTCTTAGTTTGCCATGAATTTGTTGTTGGATGAAAATTATAAGGAGATACAAAGCTATGGTGAAACCTGAACACAATGAAAATATTATTGACGATAATAACAATAATAATCATAAACAAGCAGAGATAAATGATAGCAAAGGTTCAAAACGTTGTCCTTATTTTGTAGGCAAAGCCTGACTCTTTCCTGTACACTGCCACTGCTATTTTGCTTCTTGTCACTCTTCTTCGTGTCTCGAAGGTGAGGGTCGAACTTGAAACACCCGGTATATGAGCACGTACAAAAAAATAATCATACAGGTTTTATATGACAAATGATTTTCGATATGTAACTACATCTATACAACTTTTTTTGCGGCATCATAAGTTTGATCTCTTGACGGAATATAAAATTTTGCCACGGGTTTTCGTCATATAAAGTAGTACAAAGAAGGCAACGCATTGGGTGATTACTTTCACCAAAGCAGGTTTTTATCTGGAATAGGAGTATAAATTGTACGTGGGAATATAGTTAATCCATAGAGGGTATCCTGAAAGTTTCAGAAACAACTACGTTTGAAATAACAAATGCGCGGCAAAACAGAAAACATCTAAAAAAGAAATAGAAAAAATACTGTGTTCACTATTCATTTGATCAGAAATTTCGTGTACTATCCTGTCACTTGTTTTGCTCGCAAATACTGTTGAAGTTGTCGTCATATTCTCTTCAAAAACATAAATTTGTTAACTTCTCCCTAAATTTGCAACATTTGGGGCTATCTACATCTTCTACCGTATTCACCTCGACTGCCTTTGCACGATGAAAACAAAACTACCGGGCTCTGGATGGAAACATCGGAACGATCTGAAGACACTCGCGACGTATCAGTAAAATATTTGAAACACTCGCCGTAAGCTAACATCGAATCGATAACTTCGTTATTGCTAAAGGAATGTGCCGATTTCTGATTTTCAACACGCACTGTAAATAAACTAGGTTAACCTACACACCGCGTGGTGCCTGATTTGGATATTAATTCAATCGTACCACAAAACGGTCCGGGCTTGGCTCACACCGAGTTTTGAGAAAGCTTATCTCGGTTATTTTAAGGCTTTGGTGTATGTGCTACTGTCAAAACCTGCTTACTGCCTGATCTATACGCTCTGCAAAGAAAACTCCCAACTTTAAGGACACCCCATAGGGTTCTTAGAGAAGGCCACTTAAAAATGGTACGATTCAAGCCTTGAACGGACGGAATGTTGCAAGAAAATAAAAAATCTTATCAAAGTAGATCGTTCAGAGATTCGTAGTCTTTATAATAGAGCTTTCGTTACAACCAAGAACGATACGATATTTATATGACAGAAAGAAAATATTTAAAACTTTAAAATAAATAAAATTGTTATAAAAAATATTGTGTACGATTATTTATACTCCCATTACTAGATAGCATCAATGGATCTTATATATAATGTATACAACAATATACAGTTAGAATATTTTTGAGCACCCTATATCCAACGAAATACATGAATATTGCATATATCAAATCACTATAATATACAGCACCCGGTACTGAGTTTAGTTCGTTAGGACGGAACAGTGTCCTTTTTGCTCACTATTATTTTGTACAGGATGGTTGCGAATATCATGTTTATCCAATTACAATTAGTTTTTGAATTCTGAAAAAAGTAAAGCCCCTTTTTTATGTAAAAATTATCCCGGCACTATTACTTATATTTTTTCAGAATACAAGAACTTGTTCCTCTGACTCATTTGAAGCTTGTCCACCGACATTAGAAGTACCGTACAAGTGTCTGTGAACTCTAAATTTATTTTGATCAAATAAGTATTTCAGAAACACCTCAGCTGTAATAATCTAACAAGGGATATCCCTCAAAACTCATACTTCACATATTTCGATGCAGATTGACAGAATATATCTATCTGAGTTGGCGTTTAGTCTTAATTTTTCAACTTACATCATCTACGATGAGTGAATTTTGAAAGTAGCATCTTGTTGCATGTCTACGCCCATGTAAGGTCGTTCATAAGCAAGCTAAAGGATAGAAAAGCTTCAGCATGAATGTCATAATCTTGAAAGTCCAATATACCCTGTAATTTGATAGAAAATCTACACTAGATTTCATCTCCACCGTACCATCCGGAAGTACTTTTGTCTATAATATACAAAACACTTTCGCCGTTAGAAGGGTCTGACACAGGCCGCTCCCGCTATCGCACAAGTCTGTCTACTTGGTGAAGCTGGATTGGACAAGCCACTCTCCCGTATTGGAGATAGAGCAGGGGTTTTCGTTCTATGTACAGCACTTCTTCTCCTCCTCCTATAAACAATGAAAAAAAATGTTAGTTTGATTTTTGGGATCATTCTCAAACATCACTCAAATAATAAGTAGTTTTTGCGAACAGTTATTAGGTTTTTATTTTGTTTCTATAAAAGATAATTTGCAAAACTTGCCCTTCAAAGTCTGACGTAAAATTTCACGCCAAAACTGCGATGTAAAGAATTTCTAGCATGGCCTATTAGGGATTTACGTCATGTCGGCGGGGAAGTATTTTAATCGCGAAAAATTTGTAAAACGAAATGTTACGTTTTTTGGATGTTGTATGACATGCATATCATGAAAAACCATGTCACTCATTTTCATCAGTCTGTCTATCTGTCCGCTAATCCTTGCCCCCAGTACAGCAATTTTTACTCAAGGTCACAAATACGCCAAGAACGAAAAAGCTTTGCACTTTGTGAAGGTCGGTCCACTAGCAGCGCAGAAAAATACCTAAAACGAATTGCCCAAATTTCGTTTTCTTTGACGTTTCATAGAATCCTGATCATTTTGGAAAAAATTTTGGTGGTAAAAAATTTGGGGGTGCTGGGTTTTAGGGGAGACTATCATCCTTGCTTTAGTTGTCCCGGGGGTCATTCAGGGTCAAATATGAGGGTAATTCAAGGTCATATCTAAACGTGACATTTACCGCTCGTTTCATTGCCGGGGTCAAAAATAGGGGTTCACATTTACGTTTTTGAGGTTTTATGGCTTTTTATAGCTGAAGAAGAATCCTATAGCTTTAATTCGAAGCATTTACCCCTAAAATCCATTCCCGAATAGTTATCGATATCCAGCACGTAGAGGTTGTTTGACATTGAAGGATCATTCAAGGTCAAATATAAAGGTCAATCAAGGTCATGTTTGAACGTAACATTTTCTTCCCGTTTCATTACCTGAATCAGAAGTAGAGGTTTACAATTGAAATATTAAAGTTAACCTCCAAATAACATTCAAGGTCATACATCTTTTATTTGAAACGTTTCCCCCTAAAATGAATCCCTAAACGAGGTATCGAGCCGTTCCGGTACTTTTGCTACACCCTGTATTAAATATTTGAGCGTTATGCTTGGAGTGTAACAGTATATAAGTATTTACCATAGCTTAAATAATATAATCAGTTATCAAAAATTCTTGAAAAACAGAGCACCGTAGGGTAATTACGTAAAAACATATACAACGTCAAAGAAAAAACGACAAAATGTCAACTTGCTGCCTATATACATAGATCCTAGTGTGCAAATAGTAGATTACGCATTTGATCGGTATGAGCGCTGTGTGCGTCATCAAAAGCGTTCATCTATGGAGGAATGACTCACCGACAGACACACGCAATGCTATAAGTTGCAAGTACATAAGTTCCCCATCATGCTTTGTTGGTTGCAGAATGCCGAGATAGTCTGAGATGTGTGGTTGAGTTGCAGAGTGGTAATATCACATCTGGATGATTGTGTGTATTGGTCTGTATGTGTATAAAATCAGTGATATTTGCCATGTGAGAATTATTACTGAATATGCTGCTCATGAAATATATCTATTTGCTGTGCCAGACGGGTCGTTTGTGTTGCCCTTTCTGAAGAAAGGTTAAGTTCAAAGTTATTCATTACGATTTCCCCCAGAAAAGTTAGGAAAAACATTTCCGCACTGCCTCACATCTAGGTGCTGATTTATATTTTCTACTTGAAATCGTAAAATAAATTTCTATAAAATTTGAATCACTGGAAATACAAATCAATGTGAAATGCAATAAATTTTTTACGTTTCATGAATCCTCCATATGTACCATATTTTCCTCACCTGTTAGTGTCAATATACTTCACCAAACAGATATTTTCTTTTCTTATCGCTCTCTTTTTTGAAATTCAACAAATTTCCGTATGTAATTTCCAGGTTGGTTAAGAAAAAGCGGATGCGTAACTAATTTTTAGCTTTGCATAGTAAGTGCATGAAAGTGTATTTGAGATAAGAAACCAATGGAATTATCATCAACACAGATTATTAGCACACAAATCCTCACTATAAGACTTATGCACTGCCGTTTCCTTTCAGCCACAGTATACGACTTACAGCTTATATCTTATAATAATAATGCCATCTCTGAGGCAGATGTTACATCAAATATTGATAGCTGAGTCATCATGACGTTTAGGCGACACGTACGGCTACGGAACGTGTACACATCAAATATCGATGGCTTAGTTCTAATACGGTGTATCCCCAAAAAGCGAGATTTACAGTACGAAGAAAAAGCGATTTATTCAAGATTACTTGGTTATTTAAATATGTTAGATGTTTTTACTATCACATTTGATATAAGCTTTATCTGTTTTTGACAAAATGTCGACAAATAGAGACCACTCCAGCCTTGTATGTGGCTTAAGAAGTATTAGCACTTGATCATTATCTTTGATACGACCTATTTGTCTTCCACAGTGGGCTGTATTTTTTATTCTATATAAAAATTAGGCATATTGTGTGAATATAATTTTGTTTGAAACAGCTTTTTAACGTTATATAATCGTTTATTATTTGCTAACACCAAAAAAGTATATAAAAATATGAAATCATACAACTTCAACTGTTATCTTGTAATAAAAAATAAAAACAAATCCAGACTGGCGACTTCTTACAGTAGACACAAGCTCGGTAACAAGCAACAGAGTAGACGAATCCTGGATGAGTCAGTTTTGTTTCTTGTTTTTGGACTTATTCGTATCATTATTGCACTTCTTAGTTTTTCTGAAATTAATAGATTTCATAAAAAATGATTATACAAGATCTTTTATTGTCTTTTGCGTTTTTCTGATTACCGCCATTTTCCAAATTAGGTTTTCCTGACTTTTTATCAATTATGGATACACTCACTTTATCTACTTTCCTCGAGCTTGTAGAACTGTTAGAACACTTTAAAATTTTGTTTTGTTAGTGAGTCGAGTAACAATTTTTTTCTACCTCTTAGCTACTATACCTTCAATTTTTAGTTTATTATTGCCCACCGACGACTTTTCTGGTTCTTCTCAGACGTTGTTCAACTTCCTAATTTATTCTACCTCTTCCATACTTCCTTCATATTGGAGTGCATCGTAACAGCTACATCTTCAGACATTACTTTTTTGACTCGTTGCAAATGATCCCATTTATTTTTTGTTATCTTAAGCCTTGTCTCGTAGAGCTGTTTTGGCTCATAGGCTATATCAATTTGCTCAGATCATTCACCTTTAAATAGTTCTTCTTATTTTCTGGACGTATAGAATTGTACCTTTTACAGGTGTACTTCCAAATTCAGAAAATACGAATGGCTTGGGTACTCTACGTCCAAAGGAAATGATCGCATCTCTAACTAGGTTTATGTAATCGGTAGGCAAATGTATGTATTTCCCTCTAAGGCACCTTTCAATGACACAATGAGTCGAGTCATACCCCATTTGAATGTGACCCTTATCCAGATACTTCTGCTCAATCACTATATTATACCATGTGGTCAATAGAGACAAGGCATTAGACAATATGCTGTTTTTGTTTGGGTATCCGCAATCCGGAACTATCTGACCACAACACAATCGGTTTGGCTAGAATATTCAAAGCAGGCTCTGCTTCATACTCGCTCCGTGTATTTAGAGTGTAGCTCATTTGTTAGATGTCACTTTATAGAATGCGCCAAGTGAATCTATCTGAATTGTTCTCATGTCGCAGTACCGAACCGCTCCCTCGGAGCTAACTCACAGACGTTTTTAATGATGAAATATTTCGGCAACGTTCGATCCTGCGACCCAAACACAACCCTTGAGTATGTTTTAGAATGTCATTTCCGTAAACTGATAATCAGTGACAATGGATACAACCTGCTGAAGCTTATTCAAGATAGCGCTAAAGTTCAGCAGCTCAGTGTAATAAACGCAGCCTATGTGTCAGTGGAAGAAAGAGTGAAGCCATGAGTACCCTGTATGGGTATCGGTGACAAAATCCGACTTAAGTGTTAAAGAACATCAGAAATAAACATCTAGAAGACCCACTAGCATTGGGATTATTGTACATTAATTATAATTTATCGTATACCAACAGAACAGTTACAAGATCCAATAGGCTGCAACCAATCTTTACTTTCTAATCAAACTTCCGTGCAATAAACAAATGACGCTTTCGAATCGAAGTATACATTTCTAATAAGATTTCTTGGACACTTACTCGGCGTAACGCTTTATTGTAAAAAAAACGTAGATAGCATTATTTGGTCAAATAAAGAGAGCACTGTCTGGCAACCAACATAATCAGTGAGCAAGTGGATGCTGAGGGATACAGCTTATTGGAACAGAAAATAATAGCTGATTTAGATACGCCATATGAGAATATGGGCAAAAATGGTGTTTTTATTAGCAGGTTGGCTACAACAAATTGTCACATGATAGAAATACTTTTTCTTCATTTGAAATTCATCAAAATCTCGATTTCGACATTTTGTGGGATACGTCGTATTAGAACTAAGCCATCGTTATACAACAGCTAATGCTAAGTTGATATCTTGTAGGAAAACATGATGTCACAAAAAACTATATAATTTAAAAAACGAAGTAATAGCCTTACCATTTACGGACGCGTTCATTGCTCTAATATGACACATTTTCTTGTTAATGAAAACTCATTACTGATTCTGACAAAGCCTCCATCTTTTTGATGCATCTGTCTATAGATTAAATTGCACTTCATGGATAATTGTATTAGAAGCCGTTTCAAACGTCTGAGAAGTATAAAGTAAATTAATTCGTTGCCATTTTCATAGACGACGGTTTCTTTCGTTTTTTACAATCATTGTGCTTAGTTTTACCTCCCCCACCTGTACAGTGGTCTCCTGGTTCCTGCACACCTTTGCTGTTGTTGCAACGCCTGCAACGCATCGGCCAGCTCTGTTTCCGAGATGAACCGGCGCCTAGGGGGCGGCAGCGGAGGCTGAGTGACCCTAGAGGTCTTCACCGTATCCGGGTAGCACGGCACTGGCACCAGATTACTCACTGTCTGCACACCGCTACTGGGTTCCAGGGCGGTACCGTTGGAAGGAGCCACTTGGTTGCCCCTAGCTGAGGACGGAGGTGTAGGTGGTTGGGGGTGGGACGGACGACGTTTTGTCTGACCTAGGTTGCCTGTGAAAGGAAGAGAGTGTAATATACAGAATATATTTCCTTGTCTGGCGATAGGTTGAATATAAAAGTACAAATAACATGCCTAGGTATTGTAAACAGTCCCCGAATCTTGGAGGAGGACCTGTTTCGTGTTTTAAAAAAATTGAAATCCAAGAGTGCATCGGGTCCTAATGGGATTACTGCATTTGAACTCAGAGATTGTGCTGTTATTTTATCTGAACCCCTTTCCTTTCTTTTGAATATTTGCATAAAAATGCTATGTTCCCTAGGAAGCTTCAAAGCACCTATCTTTAAGAAGGGAGATAAAAGTATGGCTGAAAATTATATACCCGTATTTATTCTAAATAATATCCTCAATGTGTGAAGTTGTACTTTCTGAAATATTACTCAGTCATGTTAAAGGTGTGTTGAATTCGAACCAACAGTCTTCCAAGGAGGTCCATCACATCTAATTTAATGGTGATTACACAATTTGCTTCTGAGTTTATGGATGATCGTGGTCAAGTTGATGTAGTATCCGCTGACTTTTCCAAAAAATTTGATAGATTGGATCGTTGAATTCTAGTCATAAAGAATCTCTTATAGACTTCCGGGGCTTCCACTGAACCCAAATTTACGTTACATCAAGGATCTATTCTGGGGCCCTCATTAGTACATTAATATTACAATTATACTTCAAGTTACAGATCTTCAATAAGAAACAGCGAATTTAAACACCTAGAAGCAATTTTTGATACAAAACTATTGTTTGTTTCCCATTTCAACAATATGTCAGGTGCTTATAAAAGCTTACTTTGTATTCCCTTTTTGGATAATAATGTCCTGATTAGAATACTGATCCGTTGTTTGGAATCCACATTACGAATTAATAAATTCAAACAATTTGGAAAAATTTCAAAGACGATTTGTGAAATACTTGTGGTTAAAACTAGATGGTATTTGGATGGCATATATCCATCCCATGGGTTTCGTAATGACGTTCTTCTGGGCTGCCTCAATTCTGTCAAAACGTGCAGAATTTGCGGGCTTACAATTTCTTTTCAAACTACTCCACAATAACAAAAGATAATTTTCAGAATATTTTTGCAAACCCGATTTACTTACTGTTTATTATTGCCATCAATTGTGCAAGTAATTTGTCATAATTATGACCAAATATCATATAGGATAGGCATCTTTTCTTGTAGTGCTAGATATTAAAGGAGACGTGTTTTTATGGTAGGGTGAATTCTTTTTAATAATAGTTATTTATTATAGAAGGGAGTACTAGAATCTAGTATTTTTCCCGTGTATAATACAAAAATTTTTTGTGACGGGAAAAACGACGATTTAATATTGAAAAATTATTTTATTACAATATTTAAGTCAGAAAATTATCGATGTGAAATTTGAATTTTGAAATTAGTAGGCTGTTGTACTTATAGCGATAATTAGACCTGCGTTGCTAAGGAAACTTTTAAAGTAATCAAATAGCTGTCAATTTAAATTTGTGATTTGATTTAAAAATTGTGAACTTAGTGGTTGTTTAGAAGTTATTTTTAATACTATAAAGCAAAAAAATGTCTGATTCCGAGTTTTATTTGACTCCACCGGAATTAGTAGAAGTACCCAAACCAGCATTACAAAAATTATTGCCAGCTAAATCGCGGAAAATTTACGTATTCAAGATTCATGGAATGGAAGATGTACAAAACATGCTGTTCTTTGTCCGAGACGGTGTTATTGGCTTATTTTTCGGAATTGGCACAACAACAAAAGCCATCGAATTATTCAATGATTAAAAGTATGTTACGATCGGATAATAACGAATACACAAATAAGTGATTTTTTAAATAATGCTCCCGGTGAAGTTTATTTAATGGATAAGGTTGTTGTTGTATTTGGGATTGCAGGAGTTTGTGAAATCAGTCAGGTAACATTAGATGATATTGAAGATGTTGGGTCGTTATTAATTCTAGTTACTGAAAAATATTTTAAAATTAAATATCTACTTTTTTTCTGTGACGGTAACAAAACTTATTATGAAATTACTTTTTTCCCCGGCAAAAAAATGAGTACTTTTTTGTATAAACGATTTAGCTGGCAATAATTATTGTGACGCTACTTCGGCTACTTCTACTAATTCCGGTAGACTTAAAGAAAACTCGGAATAAGACATTTTTTACTTTATAGTACCAAAAATAACTTCTAAACAACCACTAAGTTCACAATTTTTAAATCAAATCACAAAATTAAATTGACAGCTGTTTGATTACTTTAAAAGTTTCCTGAGCAACGCAGGTCTAATTGTCGCTATAAGTACAACATCGCCTACTGATTTCAAAATTCAAATTTCACATCGATAAATAATTTTCTGACTTAAATATTGTAATAATATAATCTTTCAATACTAAAATGTCGTTTTTCCCGTCACAGAAAAAAATTGTGTATTATACATGGGAAAAACACTAGATTTTAGCTTTCGGTTTTTTACAATACAACCTCAAGCTAAAATCTAGTAGTTTTTTCCATTGTATAATAAATAACTATTGCTTATGTGTTTATACAATATCCGGGAAAAAAATACTCATTTTTTTCCCAGTGAAAAAAGAAATGTCATTTTGTTACCTGTCAACAGAGTTAAAATGTCAAACTTCTTCCCCGTCACAGAAAAAACAATGTTAGTTTAAGCTTCACGGTTTTGATCGGTAACGGAATCCTGGCCTTATCTATTGAGCCTTTTGATGATAAAATTGGGACGCTTTACTTTATTCGTCCTAAATATCAATCAACAATGCAAAGTAGTAATGTTTTTGCTTCCTCGAATTACAGCGCAATCACAGAGAAGTGAAATAAATCAACCAAATCGTCCCAATTTTATCATCAAAATTCTAAATAGATACAGCTTATGATGACAAGTGCAACAGCCTACTGTGAAATGAAAATAAACGTTCCTCCAGGAAGTGTCATTGCGTCACTGTTTCCAATGAGATGTCAGATATCCCTTGTATCCGAGGAAGCTTCACGTCTTAAGGAAGGTCTATTAATCTGAATCTTGAAAACATTGAATTAAATTATATTTTATATTTTTATTTGTTTGTCATTTTTTCTAGTTTTTCTTTGTCGTTATTTTTTAGTTATAAGTTTTTCTGTTCTGTATTTTTTGTTTCTCTACTAGCCAGTAAGCACTCCTACATGTAACTACATTCAAATGTGTTTGTAAGAGTTTAAATAAATAAATATAAAGCCGAGTTCCTCAGTTTTATTACTGTAATGTTGAATGTAATCAGAGTTTTATAAAATGGAATAATCAGCAGAAAAACATAAACATGTTCCGACGTAATACATTTTCTACAAAGTTTGACTTTCGATTTGTCTTCCTTACTTTGAAACTATGGAGGGCAAGGGATAGGTTTGCCACCCTAACCACGCGGTTACCATAACAACAGCTTTTGTTAATTCTTTATCCGGACTGGCTTAATATACAAACATAAAAGGTTTTAGCAAACACAAAAAGGAGGAACCTTTTCACATGATTATATCCGGTTTCCGCGCAATTATTAAGAATTTGATTAGGTTTTATCATCATTTATTAACGTATTATTCCAAAAATTATGCTAAAGCCAGCTTGAAATTCTAATATCGATAATGATTTAATTTAAAGTTCCTTTTTCTTCTATTATTGAAAACGGACCAAATCTGTCGATATATACTTGAAACATTAGATAATATCCTCAATATTATTATATTCAGTTTTCCAAAATCTTCAATTGTTACTCATATAAATAGCAGTATACTATAAAAAGTCACATACTGGATGAGTTCCAGGAGGTTAGTTGCATTTTTATAAATTCATAAGTGAAACTTATCAGTTTAGAAAACTTCCATACTTGAGCTGAATCTGAAATACTTCTCAAGCAGTAAGGAAAAATAGAAAATACAATTTTAACTTTGACACCCTGTATCTCGCAAACCATCAACTTTTGGACTAAGGTATGTTTAGGTCAATTCACATATTTTGGTCAGTAGTATCTCCAGTTTCGAGATTTCCCAACCTTTCGCAGACACCCTGTATAGAATATATGCTAGCGTGTATCATGTCATATACGAGTAATGGGCCTTTTTACATAGACACAATTTGTTATCTAGGTAGATCGTTTCACCATTATTCGTTGTTGCCGCCCTGCCAAAGGGCATTGAACCTATTCAGTAAACACTGCTCTTAGCATGCGACAAACTATTGTACATGTTCTTTTCCTGTTTGGTAATCGATCATTGATTTTGCAATTACTATTTTTAGGACTACAGCCCGGACATTCATAAATGATTGTTTTCATATATTTACGCATAGGTGCAATGTTGATTAGTACACTTATTTATTTGCAATTGAAAGTGATTCAGGTGATTTTTTGATTTTGAGTTCCGGGATTTCTGAATAAAAAGTCGGAACAACAAAGCTTACAAAATTTTTTATAGTTCTTGGCAATCACTAATTGTAACATAAGCCAGCGACTTCTTATACAGGGTGTTCATTTGAAAACTTCCCACCACGAATTTATCGAAAACCATTAAAAGAAAAAACGCCGATACAAAAAAACTACTTCACCCCCTATCACACTCTGCCCCCCAGGGTCATCCCCATACAAATTTTAAATGACATGAGCTATCGAGTAATAGCTTGTTTGAAAGGTCTTTCGAAGTCCTCTATTTTGTATTTTATTTTTTTAAATTCGGTCGATTCGTTTACAAGAAAATTATATTTATCTTAATTTGTTCAAATATAAAATAAAAACGCACGAGAATATCACTTTTTATTAACAATGATATAGGCGATGTTCAAATTCCTGACGGACATTTTCCAAAACATGTTGTGGGATATCGTGACAGCTTTCGATGATGTGTTGACGAAGTTCATCCAAACTTTCAGGTTAAGGAGTAAACACAATAGATTTCAAATTGCCCATTAGAAAAAAGTCTAATGGCGTCAGATCAGGAGATACAGCATGTCATTCAATAGGCCC